CACAGAAATAGTATGTATGCCAAATGTCATCAAATGCGGACATCACAATACTTCCCTCAAAAATGGAAGTGCGAAATTATTGAACGTATATTTAAGGAGGGACGAGCAACCAACTGTTCTAACTATCCATTTCCGGAATAGTGTTTATATAGATTCTACCGCAAAAGATGAGACAGGCAGCTGATGAAAGACTCCGCTGAAATCAAGCAGGCTTCCCGGCTAGGTGTTCATGCCCTGACCAAATTTCTGATACGATCAATGAGCAATCCTGATGATTCCAGTTGAATTGGCTAGCCAGCTTCTTTACCTTTAGGGCTACATTTGATGCAGCATCCTCCAACGATGTGGGAAATTTTAAAATGTCCTAGTGTACCTCAGCACTTAGTTTATAAATTTGGAAGAGATGCATGTCTTCTGTTAGCGTTGAAGAAGTGCTATCTTAGTTAAATGGGGAGTTGGCCAGTGAGATATTGAGATACAGTAGCCAGTTCTGTATGGCAAAGGTGTTGAAAAGCTGTGACACAGCGGACATAGAAAAATAGTGATTTTTTGTTTCGCAAACGAGTCAAGGTGATGAGACCAATACATACACACCCATATGGCTGATCTAGAGAATAAAGAGAATTGGAGTAGAGGATCTCAAGAACCCTGCCATTCTGTGAAACTGAATTAGAACTATCTTAAAGCGTCCATCTGGTAAAGAAGAAAACGTTTGACTCAATCACGTAGACCAAGCATGTAGCAAGGTGAAAGGCAAGAAAAAACTTAAGCCATTAGCACATCTTAGGTTTAATAATTACTTCATACATTACTTAAGATTTTGCTTATTAAAAATTATTTTGTACTTGTATCCTTCTCTGTTGTCATTTATTGCGCATATGAAAGATTTCATTCATCCTTACCTTTTAATTTAATTCCTTCTCATTCAAATCGTTATTCTTGTGCCACTTTTTTTCCGTTTTCCAGAAGGGAGCAATATACCAAGTCCCTTTCCAGAAGTGATTCGCCAGCTTGAGATATAGAATCCTTT